ATATTTTCTTTTGCTTTTTTATTTTTTTAATAGATGTGGGGTCCACATAAGATGTGTCTACAACATAAAATAATTTTCTCCTACCGCATGAGAAAATCAAAACCCATATATATATATATATATATATATATATATATATATATATATATATATATATATATATATATATATATATATATATATATACATTAAACTATGGGCATTGTTTCTCTTCTGAGGATGAAGATAATCGATTTTTCCTATTGATAGAAACAAGCTGGGTCCCATCAGCTTTTTGAAAAAAAAAAAAAATTTAGGCACATTTTACGAATTGAGAGGAGATAGGAATCAATTTTGCCTTAAACTATTAGATTAATAATAGTTCAACTATGTCCATGACATGGTGTATTTTCTTGTGTTATTTGTTTAGAGATTTTGTTATATTAATTAGTTCACTAATTATGAAGGATTATTTGACGTATAGAATCTCTTATACTTTATTTATATATATTTATTTTCTAACTTCAAACGAACAAATCCATACCATTCACTGAAAAATAAACTTATAATATCATAAATTAAAATGAAAAGCTTTATAAAAAGAGGTACACATAATTATCAATTAATCAAATACAAAAGTGTGTCAATTGGATTGGGCTGCATGTGGCTGGCTATGGACCATTATTAGTACGGACTCCCCCACAAGTTGAGCTGTGATTTTGTCTATCAAACGGGTCCCACAGAAAAGTCATAACCAAATGGGTGAGGGATGATCTTCATCTTAGTATCTTACCTTGTTTGGTTCATGAAATTTCATATATTTTTTTTAAATTTTTTTTACCCCTAGCTAGTTCTGGAATTCTGAATAATGGGTTGTTATACTTGTTATTGTAATGGGGGACTTCATTGCCATGTATGGCACACGTTTGCCATTCATAGTTTCATGTGTTCCTTCCGTTCTATATATTGACATGCTCACCTTATTCTAACCTTGCCACTTGCTTTGATTTTGCTACGAAATTAAAATAAAATCAATTCAACTAAAAAGTTTAAGCTATTAACTAAGTGAAGGTTCATCAATGGTATATATACTTATCTAACATGTCTGTTGGCTCACCTACATGTGTTAAGATGTTCTAAAAGAGAAAGTGGGGGCGGTGGGATCGAACTCGTGACTCTGAGGCTCTAATACCATGTGTAAAGAACCAATTCAACCTCAAAGCTTAAGTTGTTGGTGAGATTACATTAATGATTTTATATAACGCTAACACGCCACTTTACATGAGAGCCCATTAAACTTGAAGGGTGGATGATGCATCAGGTCCAGCCTTTAAGTCCAATGAGCTCTTGTGTAGAGAGTATGTTAAAGATATATAAAACCATTAATGTTAGCTCACCCTACAACTTAATCTTTTGGATGAGGTTACATTAATAGTTTTAGGGAAAACATTTTCTCCTTTTAAAAGAGAAAAATTTTCTCATGTTACTGACTCATAATATAAGTGGGGCCCACAAAATAGTGGAGAGAGGAAAAGTTTCAAGGTGGGATTCACTTATGCTATGAGTCACTAACATGAGAAAAAATTTCTCTTTTAAAAGGAGAAAATATTTTTCCATAATTTTATATATCTCTAACAATATGAAACTCATTTCTACAATTTATTACTTGATTTGAGACGACTTTGGGAAGTTATTTATTATTTTTCATTCATCAGTTGCTGGTATGATTATTATATGGAAAAATGTTTATGTTTTTACTGCAATTTTTTTTTTCTATCATACTTACATAAAAGTGAGCGGGTCTCATTATAAAGAGAAGGGAGAGAAAAGATTAGCGGGACCCACTCATTTTTATGTGAGTGTGATAGAGAAATTTTTCTACAACAAAAGCAAAAATATTAAACCCTTATTATATTAGGGTTTAATGGTTCTGCTTTTGCTGTAGAAATTTTTTTTTCTACCACATTCGTATAAAAATGAATGAGTTCCATAATAAATAGAAAAGAGAGAAAAGATTACTGGAATCCATATACTTTTATAAGAGTGTAACAGAAATTTTTTTTTGCAACAAAAGCGGAAGCATTTTTCCCATTATACTATTAGATTATTACTGTTTAAAGGTAAGAATTGGAGAGTGATTTTACTCAAATGAAGCTACCTGACTTAGTAGCGTATAATGGTTTTATGCTCCCATGTTCTTTTAGAAATCCATCACAAGAAAAGTTTTTGTAATAGAAGTTTGGATTGCCATTTTTATATCTACACTGGATATATGTAATCTCTAATTTTCCATAAATTGGCTTTTCAAATTTATCAATTGAGCAAGGGTCAGTGATGCACAATACACACCTATTCTGGCCGAAATTGTTGGAATAATTTTTTATGGATTACAATCAATAGCCAATTTATTTTGGTAAAAATGTGTTTATATTATGATCCATTTAGAATTATATAAGAGCGCACTACCTATTTTCAATGATCCATTTGTGATAAGTTCAACTTCCTACATTTGGTTAGCATGGTTAAAGAAGTCGGTTACAGATTCTTGGTGTTACAGATATCTTATAATTGATCAGCAACTTCTCCTCATAGCTTGTCTTCTGTATGTGTGTGGGGGGACAAATCAGAGAATCTTAGTGCTGCAAAAGAATAAACCATTCCAGCTTGTTGCAAAAGACCAATTTAGCCTTGGAATAAAACATTCGACCAACCTCCTAAATTTCATACAATATTCTTGGTTAAGGTATTTTATTGATGGACTAAGTTCAAGATACCCTAGCCTTCTTATTTTTCTTTCCTTTCCACTTGTCTGATTGACAATGTTTTTTTTTGTAAGGTTAAATATAAAGAGCAATTTGAGTGCATTGCTCATATAGAGATGCTGACATTCAAGATATATTATATTATTCTGCAACGGAAGAAATGGTTTTGATATATGTCCTTTTGGTTTTCATACTTATTTAGTATAATTGATATTGATGCGGGGAAATGTTGTCTGTTATTTAGTACTGATATTTTGTGCTGAGTGTGAGGTTAACTTATGGTCTCAAATTTGAGTCATTGGAAATGTAGCTGTATTAAAATTTGATAAAAGAAATTTTTGCCGCTTATTTAATCTTATTTGATTTGAGTTGGATTAGTCATGTAATCAATGAATTGATAGATAATATTCGAAAAAAATATTTTGTGGTGAGTGTTGTAGTATCTGGAGTATCTCTGTCACACTCATACAGTATTAAAGAAAGGAGCTTTTGCTCCATGATTAGTATCAGACTATTTGGAGCTTATCTTTACAAAAGGAAAAAGGAAAAATATTCAATGGAGATTCATGGAAGAACAGAGCAAAATGACGATAATTGTGCTCTAATACCGTTAGATATCTTCTCACCCTATTTTTGTCCTGTGAGTATGTGATATCTGTGTTGGTTTTGGGAACAGTGATTATTTTGTCACGTTTAGCAAAAAAATTTATCAGACTGTCATGCCAACAGTAAATTTTGTCAAAATACCACGCGGCATATTTCGCTACACTGTGTAGCGAAATATGTTTGCAAATAATTCGCTACACAGTGTAGCGAAATATGTCATGTCAAACTGCACAGTCAGCAAAAGTGACACGTGTGAAGCAGGCAGAAATTCGCTACACTGTGTAGCGAATTATGCTTGGATTCTGCTTGCTTGACATGTGTCATTTTTTGCTGACTGTGCATCTTTACATGGCATATTTTGTTACACTGTGTAGCGAATTACTTGCAAATATATTTCGCTACACAGTGTAGCGAAATATGTCGTGTGGCATTTTGGCAGAATTTACTGTTGGCGTGGCAGTCTGATAAATTTTACCAGACTGCCACACCAATAGTAAATTTTGTCAAAATGTCACGCGACATATTTCACTACACTGTGTAGCGAAATATGTTTGCAAATAATTCGCTACACAGTGTAGCGAAATATGTCATGTCAAATTGTATAGTCAACAAAAGTGACATGTGTCAAGCAGGCAAAAATTCGCTACACTGTGTAGCGAATTATGCTTGAATTCTGCTTGCTTGACACGTGTCATTTTTTGCTGACTGTGCATCTTGATATGGCATATTTCGCTACACTGTGTAGCGAATTACTTGCAAACATATTTCGCTACACAGTGTAGCAAAATATGCTGCGTGACATTTTGATAAAATTTACTGTTAACGTGACAATCTGGTAAATTTTTTTGCCAGATGTGACAAAATGATTACTCTTCTTTAGTTTTGTAGTTAATGAATGAAATATGCCATTCTAACGAGTAATTTGGGGCGTTGGTAAGTAGGACATAGACAAACAAAAATATCGCCAAAAATTTAATAAATGATATAAAAAGTACAATCAGACTTCACATGTGGCAATGTCTTAATTTATTTGTGACAAACAAACTAGTCACGTGAAAATGGTGAACAAATTAGTCTTTTAAAGAGTAGCAGGGTTTACAACCGAAGCCTTTTCTGATGACTACTTGCTTCATTTACTCGTGTCCTGTAGGGATCTATTTAGCAATAATTGTACTTGTACTTCCAGCGATTTATACTGTTTACGATATTCGCCTTTAGTCTCTAATAAATAAAAAAGTTTATCACGATTTTTTAGAAATTTAAAATGGATTTATTTTAGTCTTTTTAAGGACTAATATAGGTCTTTTTTGAATTTGTGAGAAATCACAATTTTAACTAAATGAGTCCATTTTAAATTTTTTATGAACCACGATGAACTTTTTTATTGATTAAGAATCAAAATAGACGTCGTAAAAGTTGACTGAGTACCAAAAAAAAATATTTACTCTTTTTACTAATCAGAAACAATTAGCTATGACACGGACTTACAAGTTACAAATGAGACAAAAAGGAAATTTTGCTATCAAACTTTTATGGCTAATAAATGGTTTGAAGGTTCCAAGGACCACAACAGCTGATTTCATTGGATTCTAACCATATCCATTCTTCTCAATCCTATCCAAGTTTCCATCTCTCCATCACTTAGCCAACAAAGTAAACAACTTTATGCTATGCTAGCTTTGCTTGAGCACTCGTCCTAGATCAGAATCTAGACTTCTCTTTCTCTTGTTTGGCCAACTTATTAAGTTCTTTTCTTTATTGAATTCTTCTCCCTGCAATGCCAGGAACCATCCTGGTTTCAGGTACTAATTGTCATGTAGTAGTAATTCAAGAACCTCAGCCCCCATATGGTTTTTTTTTTCTTACTTTTCTTCTCTATTCATTTTACAGTACTGGAATTCATGGATCTTCCGTTATCATCATCAACATCCATAAGGGGTATGCAATTGATCTTGCTTTTAAAATTTGTCCTTACTTCTCCTCTCCACCACCTTTAAATGCCAATTATAACAAAGTTATTGGTAAATGAATGCAGTTTCCTTGGGGAAAATAGAGTACCCAATCAGTGACAAGGGAAACTTTTCCTTGTAAGATTAACTTAGAACTCTACCTTGTTTATATGATATGATGTTGCAACCATTTCTATGTTATAATATGTTTGTTCTGTTGTCTTGTTCAGCCCATTAACTAGCCTCCGTGATGATTTGATTTTTAAAATTCAGGATATTGAGGGGAATGAAATATCACGTGCAGGTTAATTTCTATACACATCCCAATTCAAAAACTGGCCTTATTATAATCAGCCAAAGACTAAACCTGTCTAACGAGTAGTAGTAAATAATTAGCAGGTGTTCATATCAGGTTGATATTAGAGAAAGGTGTTTGGGAAGACACCTTTCCCCTTGGGGCCGGGCACTTGCATTTGAAGTTGCAATTCATCCTTAATGATGAAGAGCGTGACAGAATTCGTATAATGGTACTTATTTCTTTCATTATATACAATTTGTATTGTACTTATGCTTATGAACTTTCTTAAACATTTCATATTTAATGCCTCTGTCAATTATTGTCTTCATTGATACTGAGCTAGTGCTAGATGAGTGAAATGTATATAATTTAAAACAGCCATAATATGGCACATAGAGATAGTAAAATTTGAATGTCATTAACTTGTTGAGACAGGATTTAAAGCTGTGGTTATTAGTGTCATTACATTAACTTTCCATCTTTGATTCTGCAGAGGCAATCTGCATTAAAGAAAAAACATAATGAGCTTCTTAGTAGAAGTCAAAGAGGTGCAGAACGTGACAGTAGTACTGTTATTGACAATGCTGCATTACCCTTCAGCTCAAATGATGAGGTCTCAGGTTTGATCTTACTTTGCTGATTAAAGAAACAATGAAAACTTAAAGCAGAAATTCAATAATAAGAATAGTAAATATAAAGAACCTTTGTAGTTTTTGAATGCGGTCCTACATTCCCTCAAAGGCTTTTTCCTGATGTTTTAAGTGCTCCATCTTCTCAAGAATGGCCAATGAAACACCCTCAAATAGAAGGAGTTTCTCGATTAGAAAGTCCTGTTGGTTTCTTCGATGACAAAGAATCTGCTACTGGAAATGTAGTTGGGGCTCAGCTTGACCAGAAGCAGCTAAACACAGTTAAGGATGAATTAATTTGCAGCTTAGTTTCATTTTGTCCTAACAAGAAGACATTGGAAAACGTACTATTGTTTGTTTAATGGTCATTTTGCATGTCTTAGAACATTGCAGATCAATATAAGGAGACCTCACCATCAAAACCTGTGTCAGAACCAGCCAATCAGTCACCACCTGAGAAACAACCTCAGAGAGTTATTGCTTCAGAAGAAATGGGAATTTGGCTAGGCTCGGGAGAAATAGATAATGTGACAAATAATTTGATACAACCTAAACAGGAGGAAGATGGTGTTCAATATTCTGAGAAGAAGAGCTCACTGAGGAGAACTCCCAGTAATGTTAGGAAAATGATAAGTGCTTTTGAATGTGGTATGGCTCAGGTATAGTAAGTGTTGTGCTTTTACAATATCATCAACATATTATTTTGCATGCTCTTCAACAAATGGAGTTCAAATGGGATTTGTCTTTAAACAGGATAAGAGATCTCATATTAAACCACCTCCAACGAAATATCAAGAGAGTAAAACTGAAACAAAAGATTCTTCCAAGACTGAGCATTTGGAGCAAGATGAGTCATGGAACATAGAACCAGCAGGTTTCTTACAAGAAAGGGTGGAAAGTGCCCTAGAAGGTTCATATGAATTACGTATTCACAGGGATTCACCACAAAAACTGGATTCAGTGGGGCACTTTGACAACAACTATTATTCTTATGAAAGTTCTGGGGTTTGGATATTCCCAGATGAACTAAGAAAGATTTGTATAACAACTAGTGGTAAAAGTGTAATGAGTATAGGGGGAAGTCAAGATACAAAGCGCTTAAGTCATCAAAGGAGTTTGGATTTCTCAAAAATAAAAGTATGAAAGTTTGTTCAATTATCAAAATTAAGCTATTTATGAGTAATATATTCCTTACCATTATATCTGTACGTGCCTTATTTACTACCATATATTGAGCAGTTCCCTTCTGAAAGAAACATTTAAGAAGAGAAGTGGATTTTAACATTAAACTTGCAATTTGATTAGTAGAATCAAATTATGTATTCTCTTCTTCTTATTCCTTTATTTTATTTTTCTGGTGGAACAGAATGCAGCATATGTTGGAACTGGAACTGAGGGGAGCAAGCATGAAAAGATACAGGAAATTGAAGAATCAAAGACCAATACTTCAGATGATAATATAGATGAAAATTCTGGAGGACCAATTAATCAGGTTACAATCAACATTCAATTTAGAAAATCTTGCTTGTTTAACTTCAAAATTTAATGCCTTAAATTTTGGTTAGATCTTGGTGGTGGTACTCTAGGAAAAAGAATCACTACTTTTATATTTGCACCACTGACACCAAGTTAATGAGTTAGTATAAACAATATTGCAGTTAACTATCCTGTATTTCGATATAGTAGTTCAATCTTAAATAGAAGTAAAAAAGATTGCAAATTCTCTTCTCTTTAGTAACATCCTGCTCTCAGCTATTGTTTAAGAATGCTTATATGCACTTTTCCCACACCTTCACCTCTCAGGTAATGAAAGTTGCAATCATTATAGGGTTTGGAATACTTGTTCTCCTTACTAGACAGAGAAAAAGAAGGTATGAAAATTAGATGATTTCCTTGTTATATTTCTTTACTTTGTCCTGTAAATTTTATCATATCATGCATTGGCCATCTTGTGAATGAATCGAATGCACTTTCAAATTTGAAATTATGCATATATTGTGTAATTGTTTGATCGTCTATTGCCTAATATATTCTTGAAGGTTCATTTTATTTGCAATATTTCATTGGTTCTGATTTTCATTTTTCAATCCAGAAGAATTTTAACATTAAAAAAAAAAAAAACTCACATCCCGTTAAACACGACTAGCGAGTGTGGGGTGGAGAAAATTCTTGTACGTAGCCTTACCCTGCATAATTGCAAAGAGGCCGTTTCCTGGATTAACATTAATGCTAAGACATATTTTTACTGATCTATTTCAACACTCATAATTCTGTTGAAGAATCCAAGTATAAATGATTGAACAAAGAAGTCCCACATTGGTTAAGAATAGACTAAGTGAACACCATATAAGTGGAAGGATCCATATATCTACTTTCTTAAGGTTTTGGGTTTGATTGTGGTGTTCCGAGTTCATTTAATGTTTGGCTCATAGTTCGCCCAACAAATTCCTCTGCCTGTATTGCTGGCTATAGGAAAAGTGCACATATAATTCTACTACAGCAATAATTCCTCTGCCTTGCGTCCTCAGCGATTCTAAAATTTTTTGTATGTGCAGAAAAAAATTTATTTGAAGAAATTTAAACTGTTATTTATAGGAATTGTGTGCAAAAACCCTTGCAATGAATTTGACGAAAAGAAAAAGGATATATAAAAAATTATAAGCTACATAATTCCTATGAATGTGAAGCAAGCACTGTGAAATTATGCCTTGTATTGCATAGGCTAGATGCTGAAAACAATTGTAATTTTATAATTTATTATATTCAAGATAGGATTTTGTGTTGGGAAATCTACTACTGGCATCACTTCACACTTTATTGCAAAATACAAACAAGCTTATTTTCGGTGTTCATGCAGTTTTTGCTTCTTTTCTTCTACCCTGGTGTGAATTCTCTCAATATAACTCAATGTAATAGTCATCCTCAACACCTTTTCTGTGTTTGCTGGCACAATTCATCAATTTTGTTAAGGCATGCTTGATGGCATAATACCGTAGTCTTGGAGCAATTTTTATGTGACAATTGTTTCAAGTTGCAGCATTTTGTTCCAAATTATTCTGCTGCTTATTTTGTTTTGGTATGTAAGGGAATTTCTAATTAGAAATGAAGCAAGAATTATAGATGATTGAATCATTCATTTCTAAAATCCATTTTTTCAAAAGGATCAGTGCACTGATTAGTTTTAAGAAATTCTGCTCCAATACACTAAGAAGTTTTTGTGCCTTTAAGTCTGTACTCTGTAATAATGAAGAGAGGCAAAATGATGTGTCTAATTTTCTCAATTTACCAGAATGAAGGAGAAAACTGCCTGAGAATCAGTTGCTCTTGTTACCATAACAATTAACAAACCACAATTCTTCATCTTTTGAAGCACAAGCATCTGTAGGCTGCAGTTAACAACTTTCAAATTTCAAATGCTGGGTCAAATCTTAGTGCATTCTTATCCTGTTTGTTGAACACCTTCTATGAGATGACACCTTGGCATTGCTGAGACAATTGCACCGTTAGCAGCTAAATATGTTAAAAATGAAGAAGCACAAACATTAATATTCAGTTAGCTTGAAGGGACCTGAGAGGCTTAATAACATTACGCACAGAAAGGAGTGTTTGGATTAGTTGTAAAAAATATAAAATAAAAAAATGTGGCGGGGCAAATTTGGCAAAGAAATCACATCTATAAAATAATCAATCTAATTATAATGAAAATGTTGGAAAAGATGTTTTTTTTTTTTTTTTTTACCAAATACCATTGACACAAGTGGTAAGGGATTCGTGTCTCAATTGCAAGCGACCAAGGGTGTAAATGGGTTAGGTTGATCTACAGGGACCTATGGCCTAACCTATATTAGGCTGATTTGACTTATTATAAATAGTAAAATAAAACATGTTTAGATTTTTAAAAAAATCTATTTAGAAAACAGGCTATAAATTTTTTTTTGTACATATCGGGTCTATAAGCCTATAGGTCGGCTTATATCATATTATTTATTTTAAATAAAATTATGATTTTAATAATTTTGAATAATAAAATGATATTATTTTAATTATTCTTTTAATTGTTGAATGTTTAATAGATTTAAACAGGCTAACAGGTCTAGGCCAATATTTTTATTTTTGAAATATAGATCAGACCAAACTTATAATTTGGGGCCTATATAGATTAATAGACCAGGCCAGACCCAAGATTTTTTACACAGACCTTACCTATTTAAACTAAAGCTTAGCCTAGCCTATTTACACAACTACAAGTGACATTGCTCGAATCGGACTAGTCCAAAGAATGATTTGGTTGAGGAAACTAAAAAATAATGTTTTTTGTTGCATAATTATAATCAATTTTTCTCTTTCCATTACCCAACGCTTCATAATTTACACAAAATAGCATTTTAAAGAAAAAGAGTAATTCTTGGCGGGGAAATTTTTTTTTGCAAACATTCAATAATCAACTTTATAACATTGTTCTTTATTGTTTCGATATACAATAAATAGGAGAAAGTCTGCAGGCCCATGTGTTTTCTTGCTTACAACTAGCACATTTTGTCAATTTAGTAAAGGGATTTGGTTCTGACTCAACCAGTGGTGGGTTCTACATTTATTAAAAAAAAAAAAAAAATTACACACAAATCGAAGGATCACAACATGAGAATATTCTCGTGCAACATGAGAAAATGTTTTCCCTATATTAAATATGCATTACATAGTTAGCATTTGAGGTTTATTGGGCCTATTTAATTACTTGGTCTTTTTACACTTTTTATTTGGAAAATAGAAACAAGTATAATCAATTTTAGTCATACAATATTAGGATCCCATTGTTTAAATTTTTTTTAAAAATGATATATCTTTTTAGAGTTTTATTTAGAAGTTGCTATTTTTAACTTTAAAAAAAAATACCAAAACATTTATATACGGAGTTTTTACTATTCGAGTTTATTACTAATAAAGATAAAACGGATACGGTAAATACTTTCTCACAATTTTTTATACTGATCACTTTTCAATAAATAAGAATATATTTATTCTTAAATTTTAATAAATTAAAATCATTATACACTTGAAATTAAGTTAATGATAAATACGTCAATGATGTGTTGGTCAAAATAGAAAGAATTCAAATTCCTTAAATATATATAGTCTTGAGTTATTATCAAGATTCTGCCAAAACAAAATGATAATTGGGAGTTCTAGCCGAAAGTTTCAGATTCATCATCTGAAATTCAGTTTGGCAAAAGGGTGATGCGACCTTAAAATGTTGTCATCTTTGGAGAGAGGACGTAATACTGCATGAAGTGCAACGGGTCTTCAATAGTCAACACCCAATGGAACATGTGGCTGGGTTGTCTTTAATATGTGTTGCGTTACATGAATTGACAATATTTTACTACAACCATTTTAAATGGTACAAAGTTATTCTTCTTAATTAGTTTGAATTCGAGTTTTAAAAAAATACCAAAAAATTATGAAAGTATTTACCATAGCCGTTTTATCTTTATTAGTAATAATTTGGGCCCAAACAGCTGTCTATAGCGACACCTTCTCGATAAGAAACAGAGGATATGCTTCAAATCTTCCTCTTTAATTTGCAATATGTGTAGTGTGTACAGAGGGACAAAAGGGAACCGACCACTTTCAATAGTAGCAAAATACTGACAAATTATTTTTTTCCTACTATTTTTTATAACTGTTCTTATAGTATTAAAAATATACTTACCTTATTTTATTACTTAAAAAAAATATAAAATGATATAACTGAAATTATGTATAAATATCATTAATTCTCCTAATTAAGGCATAATTCGCGATGCAAACAAACGCAACATCAACATTTCATATTTATATACTCCAAGAAATTAAGATTCATTCTCAAAACTATCATGCATGTACAAAAAACATTAACATAATAACCACATTATTATGTACAGCATCATCAACTATATATACATAGATATATATATATATCTGCTAAGAAAAACTGAACTTCAAAATTATGGGTGATGGTTAGTCCTAAAGAAAAGCCTACAAAGGAATCTGTGCCTGCTGCCACGCTTGGTGCTTCGTGCTGTTGCTTTCACTGGCTGAGACTGCATGCTTAACATGTTCCACATCACCTCCACATCTCTGTACCCACACATTTGTACATCATCTCGAAGCTTCAGCAAACCACCAACTTGGTCACAATCGCCACCGTATTCACCACCACCACCCCTACCTCCTCCTCCTCCTCCTCCTACACCACCTGCATGCTCAAAAGTTGATCAAAATGGTTGAATTAATGGGTATTCAAAAGAAATAAGAATGTGTTATATAATGCATGATTTTAATAAAATGTAAATTTTCATAAATTAGACATCTTTTATATATAAAGATAAAATTTCTATAAAAAAGAAGAAGATAAGACATTAATACTTTAAATAACAAAATTATCATTCAATTCATAAATTAAAAAATATATAAGACAAATAATTGTAAGTGGAATGGAGGACCAACCAGATTTGTGAAGCTTGAAACGGGTGGAGAGTGAAGTCCAAGTTTTAATCTTATGCAACCTACTAATCCATCTTTGAAGTTTATGGAGACTCTTTGGTGGAGAAAGAACCATGATCGGCTTCAAACACAGACGCTTCATGAGTTTAATGTGAATAGGATCATTTCTATATAAATGCATAGAGATATATTGTGCTGATGAAGGATTGATGAATTGAAGGAGAAGACCACCGAAAGCTCAAGACTTTTGTTGATGGAGGTGCCAGGCGTCTCATGTTGGCACATTCCACCAAGACACAAGTCCCCAAAATCCCTCTAATAAAACACCGTTTTTTCCTGCCTTTCGCTTTGTTTGTTTTTGATGATTTGGCTGTTCTTCTGCTTCTTCTAGTAGGAATGACACAATGGACGTTTGGTAGAGGAGAAATTTTTTTTTTAACCGAGAATCTTAATTTTTAAAAATATGATGAAAACATTTAGTTTACGATAATATTCAAAAATTTAAAATTTAAAAAAATTTAATTTCTCAAAAATTCTAAAAAATACCGACTACCAAACGCTCCCTAATAGTATTAAGATGAGTTTTGCTTGTTACACTTCACTTATCGTCTTAAATTAAATGGTCCACGTTTGTATGCATGCTTCCCGGTTGAGCATGTTAATGAGCACAGTCACTATTGAACCACATAGTTATGGGTTTTAAATTTTAAATATATGATGGAGTTTAACTTTCATTAATTAGAGTTACATTTGAAACTGCCATGTAATTTGTAGTGTTTTTTTTTTTTTTTTTATCCATCTTGCTTTTTATTAATGAGTTAATTTTGTATGTTCACATCAGTTAATGCCTGAAATTATATACTTGACCAGTAATTATTTGATTTGGGGCACTCAATGAATTAAAAATAAGAATTTGAGTGTTTGACCATGAGATATGATAATATTTTTACTGCTATATAGTAGTAGTTAGTCTTCAGTACTACTGCCACTTACAACATTACACGTGTATTGCTTTACCCATCATTCTACCCTACGTGCCAGAGAGTACGAATTTTGTTTCCCTATTCATATTCTTTCTCTCATCGTTTCTGGACCTCTCTTCTTAGTCGCACATCCAACCTCACCACTCCGCCACTATCGTCTCCTACCCGTACATCACCGTGCAACCCTCGCAAACCACAACCAGATCCAGCCAAGTTTTAGGCAACACCCTTGCTTAAGTGCCAAAATTGACTCTGATAATCTGCATCTTCCAGCATTGCATTGAACAACACCTTATTCATGAAACTTCCAATAATCTGCTTGCAAATACAATTCCTCCTATGCATACAATAACTATTGGTGTAATTGTTTAACAAAAATAAAAGAGAGAGAATACATATGTTATTTTCATTGTTGATCCTCACATTTTCTTCATGTTATTTTTCTTTTTCTCTCTCTCCCCTAAATTTATGCCTTTCAAGCATTGTAGGTGACTTAAATTTTAGTTTTTCTGCACTTAATTTGTTTATTTGGGGAGTGGATTATGTTAGAAAATCATAACCATAAAAATATGAATCAATAGTGGTAAAGAAAGAGAGAAAAAGAAGAAGATATGTAGTTATATATATATATATGAGT